AGGCTTAATTGTTCTTTATAACTGCTGTTAGTAGGACAGTTTCAACGACTAGCCCTTTTTTTCTTTCTTTTCTTATTGTTCTTATCCTAGGATATGCCGCCAGGGGCATACTTGTAATTTCATCTCTTTTATAAAGATTAATATAAATAGAAAACTGGCGGCAGCCAGTACTGATTTTTTCTCTTCTCATCCGTACCTCTCTTTCTTTCTCTCTCTGTCTCTCTCTCCCTCTCAATCACCACGAGCGACCACAGAGATTAACAACTTCTTCAATGAAATTAAAGAATTCACCTCTCTCCTCCATTGTCACTTCAGAGGGATTCTTTGAGAGCTCAATGGTGTGGCTGATGCTTTAGATAAAACTTGGGTGGGAAGGGATACATTGTATAGTGATATTACATTGTCTATGTAAAATTGATTGGATGTTGCTCTGGTACAAAGTGTTTTTTCTTGTTTGAATAATGATGTGATTAGGGCTTAAGAGTGAGGAAGAGATACCATGAACTTCTCTTCCAATATATTCATTATGAGAAAATAGCAAGGAAAGACATTACCTCCCATAAAATAACATGAATAACACCCTACAAGTCCAATACAGGGGAAATACCCATAATATCCCTTGTACATCTATACAACCATCTCAAAAAATTCAAGCTTGTAGCAGGTCAAGATCCTTGATGAAGTGCTAGGTGGCACACGTCCATGTCAATCGTGGTACACAATTACTGTGCATTCTATAGTCTATGTGAAATCCATTATTGTATGCTTAAGATACTTGCGTACTCTTTCATTTAAATGCTTGTTTGGATCGATATTGAAAGTCCATTCTAATTGGTTTGTTTGTTTCTCTTGTCATTTCAGCGTGCCAGTGACAAATCATATTTTCTAAATCAGGATACAGGGACTCTGGTACGTATTGGAGAATTAATGTCTATGATTTTAGTCGCAAATTGAAAAAATGACTGTATTCTGATGTGTCATCTATGTATATAATGGTGTGTATCTAAGGTACTCTAATTGAGCATTTCACATTTTCTACAGTTTGTTTTCTTCACTGGTGGCATCGTCTTCTTGACACTCGTTCTGAATGGATCAACTACACAGTTTATTTTACATTTCTTGGAAATGGATAAGCTATCACAGGAAAAGGTATACATTTTAAGCTGCTGAATATTTTGACTTGTGCTTTTATATAATTTATTTTTGTTACGACTTAAATTTAACATTTATATTTAGATATATCTTATTTAGCCAGAGCCCTTAACTTCTAATTGTTGAGATAAAAATGAACCTCTGACAAAATAATACTTTTGGACAATATTTAGTTCCAATTTCTTTATTTAAGTAACAAGGAATTTTCTTTGGGGTGCTTAGTCATTTTTGCTTACCTATTCAGTGCCTTCTTAGGCAAGGCAGGCACCTTATTATATGTTATATACCGTGCTGTATTTTATAGATGGTCTATGATATATAAAATTATATATGAAATTTCACACTTTAATATGCCTTGTTGCTTCGCTAAATTAAATTGATTTTGTTGTGTATGGAACGTTAAAAGATAAAAATGATATTGCCTAATAAAGTTAATAATGTAGTGTGCAAATATGAAAAAATCATTAACATTGGCTTTCTTTTAGCATTTTACAATACAAAATAACAAGGTGGTATCCTCTCACCTAATCTTGCCTTGACAAGCAATATTGGATAAGGTAGGGGGTCCTATAGATTTCATATTTGGTGGTGGGCTTTGTGAGGTGAATGAAGAGCTCTGGGTGATTAAATGATGAACAATAGGGATGAAGAAGAAAGTAGAAAGCTTGCAGTCTATCAAAGAATGGATAAGAAATTAGAAGGAGAAGAACTCTTACTTTCGGAGTAAACATAAAAAAGAAAGATAACTTAGAAATAGGTGAGAGAGAGAATCAAGAAGAGAGAAAAAATTCCTGACAACAACCAGAATTCAACAAACCAAATTCCGTAGGACCATCAACTAGGTTGACTAATGACTAGTCAGCCTAGTGGATATATTCAACTCTATATTTAATTTGAAGTTATATTTTCTTGATTTATCTCTAATAATTTGCAATATTATCATATGTGCCGTTATTTTTGTTTAAGTGGCTCGAGACTAGGATCATGTTTAGATATGTATGAGCTTTTAAAGCCATATTTCACATTGTACTTATTAGTTAAACACTCTTAAAAGCATCAGGCAACTGGGGGAAGAATACAGTCCTTTTTCTCCCGTTGGTTTTTGCTGAAGATTAATTAGTTTTATGCTGTTTTTCTGAGTAGATGTTTTATGTTAGTTGTTAGATAGGAGGTGGGGACCACAGTAGTTATGTGAGTCCAATTTTTTATTATGTTTCTGAGTATTATATATGTTGTTTTATGTTTCGCCACCCTATAAGGGCATAGTTGTCTTTGTACTGTTCTATTATTTTAGTATAAATAATAAGTGAAGGGGGTGGCCAGATTGATTGCTCTCTTTTCTTTTCAACTTCTCTTCTTCTCCTTCTCTCTTCAAGAAACTACTTTCTTTCATATTTTTTTTTATTCAGCAGATTTCTACTGTTTTCCACCTATTGTTCTAGATCAGAACATGGTATCAAAGCAAGGTTGACGATTGTGATCACATGTAGAAAAGATTCAGTTATTTTCTTTCACTTATTCTCTCCCCCTCCCCCCTCTTAATCAGATTTGTTTATCTTTATGGTGAGACAGAAACCACCACAGTCACACATGGTGTTAATAACATGTAAACTAGGTATCAACTCCTATTAAGATATATTATGATAACCAATCTACTGTTCACATTGTATCTAATTCCTTATTTGATGAAAGAACTAAGCATATAGAGGTTGACTGCCACTTTGGGAGTGATATGGTACTTGTTGAGGATCATGAGGTTTTGTTTATTTCTCATGTAAAATCTGAAAACAGTGGCTAGATTTGTTTTCTAAAAGCTTGAATTGGGTCAAAGTGGACTACATATGTAAATTGCCAGGACCATATGATCTACATTTATGATAGGGTTTTTTAAAGTCTTTTTACCTGTTCATATATTATTTTTAGATCTATTCAATCTTATAAGGGTAAAAGCTCCTATATCAACCAACTAGGGAAGAGAATTCAACCATTTTTCTCTTATCAGTTTTTCTCTTAATGTTCTCTTTCTCTCTTCTGTGTGCATCATAAGCGTCACCATATCCTAGATTAGAACAATTTTACCACATGCACATTAGTTGCTTTAAGAGTCTTGGGTGATACATAAAATAGTCATGATATAGGATAAAAGAACAATAATGGAGGAGTTCTTCTAGTTCCTTTTCCAATCAGTGGTTTTCTGGTATTGAATTGCTACAAAGAAGGGGGCCTCATCAAATCATTAAAGTCTAAGTTTTTACTTGAAAGAAAAAACACATTCACTCCTCTCAACCTATTTCTGTCCTTTTTTTATATTTGCAAAAGCAAGGTTAAAGTAAATTTCCTTGATCACTCTTTTATTGCATATTTACAGAATATGTTCACTTGTATATGATATTGCATCAATATCTTAAGTTCATGACACACTTTTGTGGCTGACTAGTTAACGCATTGCCTATGAAGGTTGAAGCAACTAGTCATCACCTTGCTGCATTGACCTATTGGTTTTGTCTCTTTCTTCTTTAGTTTGCTGTTTTGGAGGTGCATCTTAGCTACTTGTCAGACATTGATAAATGACTTTATTACATTATCGACTGCATGAAAATCTTCAACCAGAAACTAAATTCTAAAGGTTTAAAGAAGAAATGAAGGTGTTTTCAGCTTGAAAGACATTCAGCTTGCTCCATCCAGGACTTTATAGAATAGCTTTGAGGAACCATTTCTTTGAAGCTGATCATTTTGTTGCCTTGAAACTTCATCTGTTAAACGATGTAATTGTCTTTTGTTATGCCATATATTAAGTGGTTTATTTGCCTTAGTACCTTTTCTAAAGTTTTAGGGAAAATTCCTGATCAGTACCTTGTACTTTGGCTCGAGTGACAATTTGGTCCCTGAACTTTAAAATGCGACAATCAAGTACCCGAACTTTCAAAATGTGACAATCCAGTACCTGCTGTTAACCAGTCCGTTAATCAGCCATTAAGTGACATTTGAAAATTCAAAAATGCCCTTTGAATGCCATCTAATTCTCTTTATCAACCATCCAAACGTTGAGAAAAAACTGAACAGTCCCAAAACGTAGCCTCTTCTATTCAAAAAAGTTGGTGACTGTTATAAGAATCTAGAATTTGGGACTGTTCATTTTATTGTCAATGTTTGGATGGTTAATAAAGAGAACCAGATGGCATTCTTAGGGCATTTTTGACTTTTCAAATCTCACTTAACGGCTGATTAACGGCAGGTACTGGATTATCACATTTTGAAAGTTTGGGTACTGGATTGTCACATTTTGAAAGTTCAGGTACTGAATTATCGCATTTTAATGTTCGGGGACCAAATTGTCACTCGAGCCAAAGTACAGGGTTTGGTCATGAATTTTCCCAAAGTTTTATGGTGATTGTGTAAGTTACATAAGTAAACTGTAGAAGCATCTCTTTGGTCAATATGTTGTGACAGATCCTTGTCAAAAGTTGAAGGTAACTAAAGAGCTTAAAAAGGTGGATTAATTCAGTGCTTTTTAGTGCCTGGTTTGTTTAGGAGTGTAATTTTCTTATATGTACTTGTGGGTTTTAAATAGTACATGTTTTCTTTTTTTTTTTTGATAATTGAAAGATAATTCCATTAATCAAATAGAATAGTGCATGTTTTCTTTTCTTTTATTATTTTTCTATGGATCCAGAAATTGGTAGCTACAGGATGAACTATGCGCTAATTTCCAGCACACTGGTCCACATTTAATTTGTTCCTTTAGTTCCAGGATCTTGGGACTTGGGAGTGGTAGACTGGATGCAGTACTAACCTTTGGCACTTTTTGCACCAAGCAACCACTCTCAGACTCAAACTATTTAAAATCTAGAAACAAAATGAATTAATATTGACCTTATAGTTGTTTCTGCCATTTTGTGTATCCTGTCATCACCCTACTGACATTTCATTGTTAAAAGGGGGGATTGGCAAGCCTTTCCACTGAATGGGAGTTGTATCTGGAATTGGCATGTGATGACCAAGGACTTGGAGTGTGGAAAATTCCAGAGGTTGTGTTCTCAGTGAGTTATTTTCATGACAAATTGGACCATCCTCAGTGGTTGATGCATGCTTCTTTTTTCCCCTTTCCACTGAATTTCTTCTGCATTCTCTTTCAAACAAGATACTCGTAAGTTTTAGAATGAAACTTAACTTTTTCATAGCTCTTGGGTCTGTGTCATGCTGCATTTGAGTGCTATAATGTAATTACGCAGAACCCTCTGTCTCTATATTAAGTGAATGTTGTAAAATTGTGTATCTTAATTTCTTTGGTTGATTTTACTTTTAATCTGAACAAATTATAACTGTGGTCTTTTAATTTTTTGTGAGATATAAATTGAACATTGTAACCACAATATTTATAATTTAGTTTCCGGTTCTAATTTCATTTACCTTGTATATATATTCTGCATAGTTTGTGGTTGTTGGACAATATAGTGTTTTTATTTTTCTTCAAGTAATCATTTTGCATTAATCTGCATATGGTGGCAGAGGCGCATATTGGACTATACAAGGTATGAAATGATGAACAGGGCACTAGAAGCTTTTGGTGACCTTGGGGATGATGAAGAACTAGGACCCACAGACTGGCCTACAGTGAAAAAATATATTACATGCTTAAATAACCTTGAGGGGGAACAAGTGCACCCCCACAATGTGACTGAAAGTGATAATAATCTGGATATTATGAATTTGAAGGACATAAGAGTACGCCTCTTAAATGGTAATTATTCTCTGAACTGTGTTAATCCATCCCTCCAGTGTTGTATCATGTAGAAATTGGAATAGAATTGATATAACTTGTTTGTGTGGCATTTATGCTGTCTTTATGTGTGTATTTCTGTATAATGAGTTGTGAAATGGCCAAAATTCTGACGATTAAATATTCTTTCTTACCATTGTGCATAACATTTTTCAGATTATTTACTTCATATAACTTATCAATGTGCACATGTGTTCCACATAATAATAATAACAATAATAATAATAATAATAATAATAATAATTTCCGTGTCCTTATGAAAACCCATGAAACAAAGATAAGTATTCAAAGCATGGTGTGCTGGTGGGTACTTCCTATTTATCATATTTATTTTTGTTTAATATAATAAATATATAATATTAGAGATGTGCACAACGTTTTGGTATTTTTATATTTTTCTATTTATTGTTTGAGTTTTTGTTATATAATTATGACATCATAAATTGACCCATTTGAATTGAAAAAAAATGATTTCATTTTTTGGTGACTTTAAAATTTCTATTCCATTTCCATAATTAATTATAAAAAATACGATAAATGTGTAATATTTGAGCTGTGTAAAAATTTTCCACAAATCATATGTTTTTTTGTATTTTTTGTATTTCATTTCCACTATTAGAGAAATACTTCTTATTTCTCACACCTATTTTGTTTAAAATGATGGATATATACTATTAAAGTTGTCCCAAATTCTTCATGGAACTGTATTTTTTTTTGAAATTTTTATATTTTATGTTTTACACTTTTTATTATTTAACTATGAGATCATGGGTTGTTCCATTTAACCCAGATGGTTGAACTACTTATTTGCCACCTTGACGGAAGAACAGTTTCATTTTCAAGTTGGTTTTAGAGGCATAGGTTTTGTATTGTTACAATAATTGTTTGTATTTAGTTAGTAAAATTTATTAATGAGAAACAAAAGTACCTCAAATGTAGGATTTAATAAGAGAATGGGAGATATCACCTTAAATAGAAGACTTAATGAGAGGGAATTGAACATAGTAGTTCAATTTACGTTTTTGACCCTCACAGTTAGAGAGGGACCAAATTTAAAAGTAGGGGCATTTTAGTCAAGAAAAAGCCCATAAAGCTCATTTGTTTAATATACCTTAAATATAAGATTTAATGAGAAGGAATGAGAGTTAATATCTTAAATATAGGACTTAATGAGAAGGAACAGATTGAACTTAAAAGTAGTAATTGAAATTACATTTTTGCCCTCACAATTAATATGGGCCAAGTTCAAAAATAGGGTCATTTTAGTCAAGAAAAAGTCTAGTACCTAGACCTCATTCCCACTTTTAATTTTAATAGTAGTATAGATCTTTTAGTCCTTTATGTCTTCTTTTTTCTTCTTTACCTGCTAACTTTTGGTAGATGCAAAATTGCTTTCTATTTTTTTATTAAGGGCCATTACCCAATGTTGATTCTAACTATTTAGGTGTTGGGAAGGGTTGACTGGACCTAATTTCTGCATTTTTATGCACAAAGTGGCATCTCTGAATCTTGAATTTACACTTTCATGCTTGTCCATGCAAGATTTTACTGTTGTACAAAAACAATGGTGAATGTATTAATAACAGTATAAGAATGATCAAATGCTAGTGCAAAGAACAACTATGAGGTAGAATTTCTGTATCAAATAAAAGAGATACTCCTTGTCCTCTACTCCAACACCATGTTTAACCTTGATAAAATTAAGATCTGTACCAGAATTAATTAGGAATAACAGTAGAAAGAAGTAGAAGATAAAAAATGAAAAACGAGAAAAGAAGAGAAGAGAATAGAGAAGAAGAAAAGTCTGGTTCGAACTAGAGAATTCAATCTCCCTAGGTGGCCAGTTTATATTTATAGTTTTCTAAAATAAAACATAAAGACTGTTATGCCCCTACTGAAGTATGGTACACATCACCTAAGTTAGTCATTACATCACATTCTCAACCTAAAGTTAAAAGACCAAACTACCACTCTACAGCCGACTCTAACACTCCTCATCAAGCTGGTGAGTATCTTTCATTATAGTCCCAGCTTGTTACATATGTAATCCACTCTTCCCCGACTCAATCCTTTGCTAAACAAGTTTACCCATTGACTTCTTGTGTTTACATATGCAGTGCTTGTCACTCCACTAAGCACCTTCTCTCTCACAAAGTGACAATCAACTTCTATATGTTTTGTTCTTTAATGAAAAACTAGATTGGAAGAAATGTGGGTTGTAGCTTGATTGTCAATGAAGCTTCGAAGGGGTATCAATCGAGTACCGCATCTTCTATAAGAGATTCCTCAACCACACTAGTTCACAAGTTGTATGTGCCATGGCTCTATATTTAGCTTTTGCGTTGCTTCTTGCTACCAGTGTTTGCTTCTTATTCTTCCATGTCACCAAATTTCCCCCAAGGAATGTACAATAGCCTGTAGTGGACCTTCTGTTAGAGATACAAAACCTTCCCAATCAGCATTAGTGTATCCCTCTATCTCAAGACTTCGTCCACTCTTGTATAACATGCCACGACCAGGAGCTCCCTTCAAATACCATACAATCCTTAGAATTGCATCCAAATGTGGAACCCGAGGGTTCTACATAAATTGGCATACCACACTAACTACAAATGAAATATTTGGTTGAGTAATGGTTAGGTAGTTTAACTTACCCACCAACCTCCTATACCTTCCTGGATCTTCAAACTCTTCACCTATTATCACTACTCAACTTGACATTTGTTTCCATGGGATTTTAGTCGGTTTGGCACCCAACAATCCTATATCCAATAATAGATCAAGAGCATACTTCCTTTGACACAAATTAATACCTTTGCTACTTCTATCCCCAAGAAATATGTTAATTTGCCAAGGTGCTTTGTTTGGAAGTGATTATGCAAAAATGTCTTTAGCCTATCAATTCCCAATCTTTCCTTCCCCTCTTTTCACAAATAGAGTATGGTCAGTTTGACATTGTTTGTAGCCAGTCTGCTATATAGTCAGATGAAACTTGCTGAACCAAGCTCTCGGAGATTGCTTCAGACCATACAAAGACTTCTTTAGTCTACAAACTTTCTGCTCTTTGCCTTGGGCACTAAAGCCAAGAGGTTGGACCATGTACACCTCTTCCTCAAGGTCTCCATTCAGGAAGGCGTTTTTAATGTCTAGCTGATGAAGATCCCAATCAAGATTTGCCGCAAAGGAGAAAAGGACTCTAATGGAGTTCATCTTGGCTACTGGGAAAAAAGTCTCTACATAATCTACACCATATACTTGAGTAAACCCTTTTCCCACCAACCTAGCCTTGTACCTTTCTATTGTGACATCAGCCTTGTGTTTTACTATGAACACCCACTTGCACCCTATTGGTTCCTTACCTTTAGGAAGATGCACTAATTCCCATGTACCATTTTTATGTAGGGCATTTATCTCTTCTTTCATTGCATCTGTCCATTCAGGTACCAAGAGAGCTTCTGCCACATTTTTTGGGATAGGGACACTGTCAATGGAAGAAATGAATGCATGAAAAGAGGGTGAGATGTTCTTATAGGTAACAAAATGGGTAATAGGATACTTGGTGGTACAAGACCTAACTCCCTTTCTTTTTGCAATGAGAATGTCAAGGTCATCACCAAATGGAATATCTATGGCAAGAGGATCTGGAACATCAATGGGAATGATAGTACCTGGTTGGATATGGTCTGTCCCTGGTGAATCTAATGGTGTTGGTGGTGTAGTTTCAAGTTGCTCCACAACTCTTTAATTTAGTTGGCTCTTGCAACAATGAAAAACACGGAATGGAGGAGGGTCAGGTAAAGAAGGGAGAACCTGAACCTGAACTGGTTTCTCCTCCACCTTACTCTCCCCCTGAGGAGAAACCAGGAAAAAAGGGTCAGTTTCAAAGATAGACACATCCATAGAGACATAGTACTTCTTGGAAGCAGGGTCAAAACATCGATAGCCCTTTTTGGAAGAAGGATAACCCAAGAAGACACAAGGAATGGTACGAGGATCAAGTTTTCCATGAATAGGAGAAAGGTACTGGACAAAACAATGACAACCAAACACATGGATTGGAATAGAGAATAGGGGAGCCTTGGGAAAAAGGAGCTGATGTGGGGCCTTGTACCCTAACAAGCAAGATGGCATACGGCTGATGAGAGAGGTGGCACACAACATAGCATCCAATTAGAAATGTTTAGGGACATTCATGTGTATAAGTAACCCGCAAGCAACTTCAAGAAGATGGCGATTCTTTCTTTCAGCAACACCATTTTGCTAGGGGGTTCTAGTGCAAGAGCTACGGTGTATGGATCTGCACGAAGCAAAAAACTCCATGAGATCACTATGGAAATATTCTTTGGCATCGTCTGATTGAAAAATTTGGATTTCCGTTTGAAACTGAGTGAATATCAAGCATTGGAGATCTTTAATGATTTTTGGTACTTCATCTTTGGACCGCATACGGTACACCCATGTATATCGGGAGTAGTCATCAATAAGTGTAATGAAATATTTATAGCTAGACTCGGATGTTAAAGTAACAGGGCCCCAGACATCAGAATACACAATATGGAAAGGAAAATTAGATTTATTATTTTTTGAAGTAAAGTGCTTTCTACAATGTTTGCTCAACTAACAAGTTTGACATGTGAAATCCAACACTGACACTGATTTAAATAAATATGGTAACAAAACTTTCAATGACTCAAAAGATAAATGACCCAAACGACTGTGCCATAAAAGGACTTAACTCTTATTAGACAAACTCCTAGACTCAATAACCGCAAGACAGGCTTTATTCTCCAGCATGTAAAGACCATCTACCATACGACCTCTACCAATCATCTTCCCCGAGGCCAAATCCTGTATCACACAAGAGGAAGGAAAAAAGGTTACTGAGCAGTTCATCGAATTTGTTATACTACTACAAAGAATAAATTTATGGGCAGTTTAGGAACATGTAGAACATTAGAGAG